CGGGCTTTGGAGGAGGGTAGGGGAGGGTGGGGGTAAAGGGGAAAGAGCAACCAAAGGACTTACATGCAGGCATAGAGGCCTAACCAATGGACATGGACACTGGGGGGGCGGGGGTGGAGGGTGATGTGGGGACAGGGACACATATGTAATATCTTAATCAATAAAAAATATATTTAAAAAAAAAGAGGGGCTCTTCAGCTACCCTGAAGACAAATTTGGAAATGCGGAAACACAGATTTTCTTTGGGCTGCTGAGGAATTTGCTTCTGAAAATGGCAGCCACAGACACAATGACTGCTCATTTATCTGTTATAAACTGGAGATGATTTAAAATCAGGGCAGGAGAGGAGAAGTGTGACAAACGATACATCATCAAGTTCCAGGTGGGAACAGGCCTGTGGTGGGCAGGGAGGTTGCACTCACTGAGATGGCGTCCATGCCCGCCAGGTCGTCCTCTAACCCGCTGTCCAGTTTGACGGTCAAGGCTCGCAAGAGCTTGCTGCTGGAGGCGGGGTTCTCAGCCAGAGCCCTCCACAGCGTCTTCGTGTCCCTAGGGCAGCAGGGCAGCAAGCGGAGAAGGCACGACTCCGTGGAGTAGGAGCGTGTCCATCGGATTCACTCTAAAACCACGTTATGTCTAGCCAGCATTGCGAGGCAGAGGGACATGTTAGCATGCCTGGGGGCAATGAGGCTGTTACTTAACAACCCCGCATTCTGGCCTTGGGTTACTGAGGTTTGCTAATGTCCACCAAGACAGAAGTCTCTCACAAAGGTGAATTCTGGGCAACCAAAAAGAGGAGAAATATTCACTTTCTAATATTCACGTATTCCTATGGTGTATTTAAGAAAAAAATCTCATCATTGCTCAATGAGTGTATATATACGTATATGTATATATATATACACAACCAGCAGGGGAAACATTCATTTTTAAATTAATAAGATATTTTCAACCTTTGTTCACTACCTTTCAAACAGTAAGCCCTTCCCCGATGCCCTGCAGGGTGGCTTTTCCTGAGAGGAAGGACCAGTTCAGTCAGAATCTACCTGTCAAAGGGCAGAGGCTTCTGTAAAAGGTTGGCGACAACTGCCTCCGTGTGAAAGCTGGCTATCTGGGAGATGGCTTCCAGAATGAACTGAAAACTTTCCTCCTTCTGCCTGAGGATTGGCAGGTGATAGTAAATTATGCCCAAGATCTCCAACAGCTACAAAGAAAAAGCCAAAGCCAGCATTACGTCGTCATTTTCCCTCTAGGACGTGAAAGGCTCAGGGCGGATATGGTCAGCCTATCGGTGGTTGGTGAATTATAAAAGATGTTAAAAATGATCATCGATTCTACACATGGCCTTTCTCTTATTCAGGAGAATTGTTGATGCGCTGGGTCTTTTTCCTTAAATGAATTTAGCGAAAGGCTGCTTTTGGCCAGGTGCTGTGCTAAGCTAAGCGCCGTGAGACATTTACCCGAGGTGAATACGATGCAGAACTCTCTCAAAAGAAAGGGGTGTCTGCTAAAGGCTGTTGGGGATGTACTCAAAGGCTTGTGCGGGAGCCAGTGTACGGCCAATGGTATGCGAGAGGTACACAGGACTGACGGGGGGAACCCATGAGTAACTGGCGTCGCTTTGGAGGGATATCTGGTCTGGCTCCCACAGGATATACAGCGATTTCAAAAGGCAAAGCGGAGCCGATGGGAAAGGCATCTTGCTCAGAAGGGTGAGAATTGTGCTGGGCTGTCAGCTGGGCAGTCAGTGTACCTGATCTTCCAAGGCAGCTCCCTGCTCCTTCAGGGCGGCGACCATCCACAGGCCGCAGGCCGTGACACAGGGGCCGCTGAGGGTCTCCAGACCATCCAGGGTCTCCTCCAGGAACACGAGAATCTCTCCACTCGGGATGAGCTTACTCACAACCTGAGGATACGCAGGAGAAACGCACGCTAGCCACCACCTCGCTTCACACCCGGGCACCCACCACATGCAGTTACTCCTTGTTCTGGGATATCGGAGACCAATGGGCGTGGCAAACAGTGAGCATAAGACTGGGGTCTTAGACACCAGGGAAAATACAAAAATAGGACATAGACATGACCTTTGGCCTCTAAGCAAACTTGCCCTGGAGTTGCCTTTTTTGTCAGTTTACACCATCCCAGGTCTGCTGATGCAATTTTCTCTCCAAACTAAAGTGATATAGTATACTTCATAAGGGAAAAATGATGCGTAATGCCTACATAGTAATTTATATGATTCGCAGCACTTCACACACATTTCATACAGCATAGAAGTAAGTCTCACATCTGCCAAAGAATAGCTAAGACTTGGGAGTTCAGGAAAATCTATCACTGTTTACTCAGTGCCATGGTGAACACCAGGTGCCTCCATACACATGCAGAGTCTGAACTCTTATGAGCCCTGCATTTTGCTCTTCCCAGTCTCAATATTAAGAGTAGTCAACGAAAGGTCAAGAAAATTGAAACTTTGCAGTTTTGATCTCTACAAGAACTACACAGGCAGTTGGTTGATAGCAGTGCACGAGGGTGAGTGTGTGTGTGAAAAGTGAGCAGTCTGAATGAATTCCAGGAGCATTAGCTAGGGCTTTAACTAACCACATGGTCATAATCATGAATCTGTAGGTATGAACACATTCCTCTTCGCAACCGGCTCCCCCTCTATTACACGGCCTGGTGATGTTTGGTAGGACCATCCTTGAGAAGAAAAAGTTCCTTTTCATGAACAGTGTGTCTCCCAGGTTGTGAGTTATCATGGTTCCCACATCAGAGGGCTAGACTAGCCTGTTCTATGTAGCACAAAATGCTTGCTTGGGGTCCAAGCTCAATGGCCATCTTTTTCCTTTCTTCTTCTTCTTCTTCTCCTTTTTTTTTTTAAATCACATTGTGATGGGTGTTGGTTTACAAAGAAAGGAAGGAAGGAAACTCATGTTGTTGAGTGCCTATCATGCTTCAGACATTCTTAGCTATGTGACATATGTCCCCCCCAAGTCCCCATTTTGCTTTTCTCCCATATTCTGATCACTTTCTTGTTGTCACCACTTCTGCCTCCTTAGTCCAAGTCTCCTAATCTCACACCTAGATTCTTGTAGTTTCCTCCGAAGTTTTTCACAACTGGCACAATTTCACTCTTGCCAGCCTATGTTCTAATCTAAACATAGCAGCCAGATGACCCTTCAGAAACATACATTCAGTCATGTTCCCTTCACAGAACCATCACTAGTTCATAAAAGGTTTTTGCAAATTAGGTAAAGGTGTTCTGCCCTCAATTCTGATGGACTTTGTTGGACCCTTCACTGACATCTGGGGCTAATTGCCATAATACATACAACTCTACAATGTCTACTTTAGGAGTGACGTTACCTCACACGGGGGGTGTACTTGTGCGTTTTTCACAACTGGCACAAAGGTAGGTAGTGGGCCTGACTCTTCTGCTCAAAACCCTTCGCTGGCTTTACATTTCAATTGCAGTAAAAGCCAAGGTCCTTAACAAGGCCTGCAAGGTTCCTGGATCATCCCCAGACTATCTCTCAGATCTCATCTACGTCTTTCTCCAGGGCAGGGTGTTTGCACTTGCTGTTTTCCCTCTGCCTGGAATGTTCTTTCCAGATGTCTGTATGCTTCCCTCTTTCAGTGACCTTCTCTAAGGGATTACCCTTTCTTTATTGGATTTTATTTTTCTCAGTGATCACTACCTGACCTGATATTTATTTGCCGGACTCCATCTACTGGGATGCAAGCTCAATGAAGGCAGGCATTTTGTCTTTTTCTGTTCTTAGAGCTTAGGACAAAGTCTGGCATATGGTAGGTGCCCAGGGCATATTAGGTGAGTAAATGAATGATTGCATAAATGAATGAGTTGATCAACCAGTCCTCACAACATCTCTGAGAGGTAGGTTAGGTCATTATTTTGAAGTTGAGGGTTCTGAGCTTTGAGCAGTGCACACAGAGCATCCACTGCCTCCCTCAGCCTGGAGAGGGCCGCTTGATTGACAAGTTTTCCCAGAGCATGAAATGAGCAGTAGCAGGCCTCAGCTATACACATGTCAACCCAGAGTTCATAAACGACAGGACAAAGGTCTTTCATTCTACTTGAAGGGCTATGCTGCCGCCCTCTTGGTAGTGATCTGTACACAGGTTACTCATTTGAAAGTCAATCTGGAATCGTCTTTACAGCCCTTGGCCAGTCCTCCATGTCTATTACCTTTGCTATTTTAGAAGAAATCTTGAGCTGGACCTGCACGTCATTAGATTGCAGGCCTTCCTGCAATCCCCGCAGTCTTTCCACTTCCAGGTGAGCACCTAAAACCAACCACAGGAGACACAGGTAGGAGGTCAAAGACTTGATAGATGTGGCAGAGGCTGGTTAGATTGTGTTGAGACACGAATTCAGCTGCTGGACACTTTCAACAGATACACTCCCTGATGAGACAGTGAGCATAAGAACAGACACATATTGAGTAGTTTCTACCTGCCAGGCACCATGTTAAATACTCGCATACAGTGATCTCATTTGTTACTCAGAAAGGTGATCTGAAGTAGATCCTTCTGCTATTGTCCCCATCTTGCAGATGAGAAAGCTGAGGCAGAGATATGAGGCCATTTGGCCACATGACGGTGAGTAAAAATAGGGAAGTCAGAACTTGTGCCCTGGTCTGTCTGACACGCTGACACTGAAGCCCAGGCTCTTACTACCCTACCATGCTGCTGACTCCGTTGGACTTCCATTCCGCGGTGAGCTGCTGTGGGGGGAATGGGAAGCTAGTGCAATGGAACGTCAGCACTGAGTAGGTACTTGCTGATCTCAGTTTATAGAAGTAGATCTAAATCAGCGGTTCTCAACCTGTGGGTTGCGACCCCTTTGGGGGTCGAACGACCCTTTCACAGGGGTCGCCTAAGATCATCGGAAAACACATATATAATTACATATTGTTTTTGTGATTCATCACTATGCTTTAATTATGTTCAATTTGTAACAATGAAAATACATCCTGCATATCAGATATTTACATTACGATTCATAACAGTAGCAAAATTACAGTTATGAAGTAGCAATGAAAATAATTTTATGGTTGGGGGTCACCACCACATGAGGAACTGTATTAAAGGGCCGCGGCATTAGGAAGGTTGAGAACCACTGATCTAAATGGTAATGATTTCTCTTTGCTGTTTGAGTGAATGGTAGTTGTGGAAACACACACCTGAATGATTCTGTGGAAGGCCACCCAGCCCAGCAAAACTCACACAGACTTTGGAGTCACGCAGACCTGGACTCAAAGCCCAGCTCCATGAGATCAGCGGTCCAAGCTGCTGGTACATTTTTAGCCCCAGATCCCTCATCTCAAAACTGACTGAGCAGCATCCATGAGTATCAAGTGGGTATTTAATTTAGTATCACACTCGCTACTGGTGTCTAGTAGACGTTTAATTAATACTCATGTTCTTTCTCTCTACCATGCTCATTTGATCAATCAAGAAAGAGAGTTAAAGTGAATAACAGATTATGGGATTTCTTCTTAACAAAGAGTGTTTGAAGACCTGAACTTTGCAAGTTTCAGGGAAATAAAGGGGGCTGGAGGAAGAATAGGTAGAACGATTATAGAATTCAAATTCCTTTCTTCCCTTGCACATTCTTCGATTACTGAAATGGTTCCTCACTTCCTTAGTTCATTTTTTTTTCTGGCTTGGTAAGAGCATATATACTTAATGAATTATCCTCCCATGTTCCAAGGGACTTTCATATCTATTCTGTTTCTGCTGTTTTCTTTTTTTTTGACTGACTATGCCCTCACCCATCCCTTCCCACCAAATCCCAGCTTTTGACTTGTAATATCTCTGCGTCTCCAGCATCAGAACAGTGCTCAACACCTGGGAAAGCGTTGGGGAAATAGTTCCCGAGTGCCTGCGAGAGTGAAGAGTGAACTAAAGGTGGACGGCACTGAACTGAGACCAGTGCGCCTGGCCTCCCTGGCCTACGCACAGCTGAGCACACCCACTGCGGGGCTGTGCTCCGCGAAACACCCGCCGATGCAGCTTGGACAGGGGCCCTGACTGCTGGGCTCCGCCCGACACTGGGGTTTTAAATTCCTTACGTTGGCTGATACTGCCAGTTATTCACATGCACTCAGAGAGCGGACCAAGGACCTGAGATGCCAACTGGGAAACCTTCCCCAAATTCTGTCCTGGAGAAAAAGAATGAAAGCATCACTTCCTCCTGGGAGACCATGTGATGGCTACTCTTCAAACATTTCACCCACTTTTATGGCTCCTTAAGATGCTTTGGTGTCATTATCTTTATTTCTAAAAAAGAATAATAGAACCACGGAGGCAGAAAGACCCAAGAGGCAAATTCTGTGACATAATTAGGGTATTAGAACTCAGAAATGGCTGAACTGGGGGAGGTAAAGAGAGAGGGAGAAAGAGAGAAGGAGGAGCAGAGAAACAGATGTACACGGAGGAAAGCTGGGAAGGAAGCAAGTATCTTTCTCTCCATTTGTCTTTCGCTCACCTTGTATATAGAACAGAGCAATGGCCGAGCTGGCTGCGGCCTGGCGGATGGAGGGCAGGGAGTCACAGGAGTGCGGGGCCAGGAGGCCGAGCAGCGAGGTGATTTTAAAGTTCTCCGGTGCCTGCAGGACAAAGGGGCCCCCAAGGTGATGGGGTGGCTGGATAATGCCTCCAGACATTCCCAACACTGGAGAGAGAGAGAGAGTCAGTCCCTTGATTCCTCCCTGCTGGTCCTTAGAATGAAAGGGGATCTTGGACTTACCCTCTCAGGGCGGTGGAAGTAAGCAAGCAGCACACAGACAACCACGTGGCTGGTCCTATGGGCTTGCCACCCCGGAAAGCACTCCGTCGGGGACTGGAGACCGTTTCGGGGAGGTTTGGGCTTCAGGGGCCTCGGAGATCCCTGCTGTTAGCGAGCAATGAAACCTACTCATTCCAGGGGGACTCACCTCCACGTCGTTGGTCAGCACTTTGGCGGTGATCTGGAAGGCTCTTTCTCTTTCCCACTCTTTTTGTGAAACAAGCCACATTCGGAGAAGCTGTTAGTCAAAGGATAAGCATCCTTTCCATAGTGTCCTGCTGATCCATGCATTCACGTTCTCTCTCTCTCCCCCACCTCTCCCCGCCCCCCCACCTCCCCCAGCCGCTGCTGCGACAGGTGCTGACCACCCTGCGCACTATTGCTGAGCGGACAGGCTAACAGAACCACAGAATGGGCCCTGCACGTGGGGTTGAGTGGGTCGGGCTGGACGTCTCCCTGCAAGGAGGAGGAGGTCCAGGTTGAGAGGTGCACCGGCGCACAGATTAGGGGGCCTGGGGATCAGTCTGAGCAGTGGCCCTACTCACGTTAAACATTTCCTGGCAGTCTTCGGCTCGCACATTGTCCCACATCATGGTCCGCAGCAGCTTTCCTAGAGCATCCATGGACCGTTCGTAGAGGAACTGAAATCCAAGGTGAGTGGGAGGTGAGGCTGAGGTGAGAGGGCAAGGAGGCCCCACTGGGCTCTTCCTGCCACCCGGGCCTCACCCCACATACAACGATGTGCTCCTTGTCCTTGTCTGTCTCGCCCTCATTTCTGAGAGTTTCCAGAGGCGGAAGGGGCAGCAGCCTCCGGATGTTCTCTTCCAGAATGTTCAGATTGTCATTCAGTGAGAGCCGAGGTTTCAGTTTACTGGAGTGAGAGCCACGTGAATACATGTTAAAATGATCATATAACTGAATATATTGGATTAAATAAGAACATGATGAAAATCAATTGAACTTGTTTCTTTGTACTCTTAAAAGTGGCTACTAGAAAATTTTAAATGATACAAGTAACTTGCATTATATTTCTACTTCACAACACTGTTCTAGAACCTACTCAGTTCTTACTCATGTTCAAGGTTTATGTGTGTGAGCTGTCTTCAGATTTCCCTCCTTTCTGTAAACATGGCAACCTGTGCCTTCCCTTCTCTCGCCTCTTCCCACACGTGTGAGACATCCCATAGGTGTGCTTTGTATCGCTTTCCCAGGAGGCTAAAACCCTTCCAGGGCAAAGCCACATTTTGTTTATTGCTGTCCTTTTTGAACCCAGCTCAGTGCCTGATACAAGGATGACACTTAATCATGTTTATTAAATCAAATTGTCAACTTCTATCATCGGAAGTTCAGAGAACACTTTTTGCATAGAGGTGTTCACCAAAACATTATTTACAGTTCTTAAAAACAGGCCACAATCAAAAATAGCAAGAGGAGGCTGGTGAAGTAACATAAGGCACATCTAAATAATAAGGTATTAGGAGGCCATTAACAATGACTTCTGTACCCTCCTACAAAGGCGTACTGTGGTTCCCTGTCTTTGGACACAGAAAAACTGAGGCAAAGAAATGTGGACTTGGAGAAATCTGGAGTCAGCTTGCTCCCTGCAGCCTCAAGATCAACCACCCCACATAGAAGAAGAAAAAAAGAAAAAAAAGAAAAAAAATGATTTTTGTTACCTCAACATAATAAATGCCATATATAAAAAGCCTGCAGGTAACATCATACTGAAGGGTGAAAAACTGAAAACTTTCCTTCTAAGATCAGGAGCGAATAGGGTGCTGCTTTTATTTAACATAGTACTAGAAGTCTTAGCCAGGGCCATTAGGCAGATGAATAAATAAATAATAATAAAACAATAAAATAAAATAAAAATAGGGGTGATTTTATTGTTTTTTAAAACTTTCTCTGGTTTCCAAGTTTTAACAGTGAACTTGAATTTCTTATACTGCAGCGGGAGAATGCTATTTTAAAAATTTGCTTGACATTATTTTCTTCTTCAGGCTTATTGTTGCTAACCAACTAGAATTGATTACGGCTTGCACAATTTTTTAATGGGAAAATTAAAGTTTTTCTACAGGTCAAGATCTAGGAAGAAAAACGTCATTTTTCACAAAATTTCAGTCTTCATATATCAACACATCCGACTCCTCTAAGCAGCCCTTCTCTCCATTAGGCATCAAGTGACCAATCTGCCAGTTTTGCAACTCTGGGGAGAGAAAGGCCCCGTTTGAAATCACTCACTGAGGAACTGTGTTCGTTTTGGGGAGGGTGCCCTGGAGTCTGCACTCATCTATAAGTCAGAAGGAGGACATGGGCGAGGAACCATTTTTTCAATGAGAATAGCTCAAATTTCTCTACCTGAGGTATCTGATGGCGATTAAGGCTTTCCACCGAACAGGGGTAGCTAAGGAATCCAGGGGCTCGTCCCTGATGAAGTCCTGCCACAAACAAGGAGGTGGAATGTTTCAGAAAAGATCAAGGGAGTTTCCCTTCAGCACGGACGCAGCTGCAACCTCACTGGACCCGTGGGTGCCCTCGGGCAGAAATACAGCCGAGGTCTGATCCTTGGGACTGGGCAGTTTTACCCACTTTTAGGAAGACAGCCCCGCAACCTTGGTAATGGACTTCTCAGGGCCTCGCCAGAGTCCTCTCTGCTCACTCACCAGCATGTAACCGAGCAGCAACTCTTTGTAGGAAAACTTGAACCCCTGATCCTCAGCATCTTGGACAGCAATGCCAATCTCCGTGATACTTCTTGTGAAACTCATTTGCAGATCCATGTCCTAAAGCAAAACGATTCAAGGTACAAGCAGGGGTCTTAGGCAGCTCTCCTGGTTCTATAAACGTGTGACCTGAGGTTGAAACGTGTACCCAGAAGGAGAGAATCTCCCCGCTCCTTTTGCCGTGTCTACCTCAGGACACGCAGGGAAATGGAAAAACAGGTCAACTTCCACTTCCGCCCCTGACCACCACCTGACCCATACATGGAAGGTCCCTTAAAGTAATGGCTTTCAAACTTCTTTGACCATAAATCACAGTAGGAAACAGTTTACAATTCCACCCAATATTTACACACGCAATATCTACACCTATCATCTATCTATCTATCTATCTATCTATCTATCTATCTATCATCTATCATCATCATCTATCTGAAATAAAAGTTTTAGGATAGTTATTACTATATGCAATGTATTTCTCATTTATTTAAGTACAAAAATGTTGCTGGTTGTGATTTATTAAATGAATTTCATGATCTACTGGTGGGTCACAACCCACAGTTCTAATGACCCTGCTGTAGTTTGCAGCCCAACTTCCAAACCATTTGTAACCAAATACAGCAACTTGCTCTGTCCTAGATTAGGCTCTGGGATCCTGGCTTCAGAACTGGGTTGATTAGTTATGTATTGGGATCCTTTCCTCTGGAATCAAATCCAGAGGACACCTACGCTTACTGCACTTCCAGGGAGCATGATTTGTGTTCAAATATGTAAGTTCAAATATATCACATACCTTGTTCATCACAGACATGCCCAGAACCTGAAAATTCAAAGGCAAAAGCAGATACTAGAGCAGCAGCGAGGGAGTTCCGGCGCCCCAACAAGAAGCCCCGCCCCTCAACCTGGTCTTGCCAAAGCACCCACTTCCTCCCCCATTTTTCAAAGCGAGGCCTGGTACACTGGCAGGAACTGTCCCTCGGGTGAGCTGGGACTATGCTACAGAGGTCTCAGGCTTCTCAGTTGGAAGAGGCTGTCCTAGACTTGGGCAGGAAAATAGGGGAAGGCACATGGCAGGAAGAGCCGTGAAAACTCCTGAAAGGACAGGTACAGGCGATAGGGCAGCTCACCTTGGAGCCGGATACAGTCAGCTCTGCTCTAATGCTTGCGTTGAAAATGCAAACTGGTTCCCATGCGATGGGTACGTGAGGGAGAGTTGTAGGTGTTGGGCTTTGTGTTTGCTTCCTCTGTTTATTGGGTCATGGGCACCCCCCATCCAAATCTGGCATTGCAACCGTCCATCAGATTTCAGATAACCTTTCTTTGCCACCATGCCATGATATTTCATAACTGTCATAATTTACTTCAGGTGTTTTTCAAGGAAAAAATGTATTTAAAAATATATTAAAAAATAGATAGCTGTTTTTTAAAAATGTGCCATTGATGGATTTTTTGAATGTTGTGCCCCTCAGCCCATTTTCCTCATCATCTCTGAAGTTTTTCTTATACTAGTCAGTGTGTATGGTGTGTTATAGCAAAATTGATTGTACCTTGAAAATGTACAGTCATCATTATCTAAAACATCTTTAATTCCTTTCCTCTTTCATTTTAAACAAAATTTTCCTCACTGATGGACTAAAAACTAATGTAACATAAAATGTTTTTTTGTTATGTTTTCTGTTCTTGTCATTGTGTATCAAATTTTGGGTCCGTCAGAACCATCTTTTGGGGATCATGTTATGCATACAGGTTCAATGATCTATCCCAGAAGACCATGGTCCATTAGGGATCTCTATTTACAACAGGTTCTCTC